CCGGTTGTTTTTACCGACGCTGAAAAGCTGTCGCAGTATTGGGAAAGTTGGTGACGCTGACTGATGGGCTGAATTATTTGCACAATAAACAAAGAATTGCGCTAGTTTACAGTATCCTTTTTTCACTGCTCCGGAGACTGCAAACTAATTACCTCTGACTGTTCACAGCCAGAGAATGGGAATCGTTGAATACCCATTGGAAATCTTTCAATGGCCACTGACCTTGACGAATGCAAAACCTATCAGATGGCACGTTTTTTCTGCGTGGTGCTTCCGAGCGGAGTGGCAAGCGAGTTGAAGGGTGTTCAGCGAGTGAATGTTCGTCAGTTTAGCTTTGAGTGACATCTGATAAAATATTGTTTAGTCGCTCGCTCTTTCCATAATGATTGTATAATCAAATTCGAAAGGCTTCTGAAAACGGTAATTCAGCCTCGTTTCTGCGCCGGTCATTTCGCCTATCGTCAGTCACTGCAGTTAATGAACCTCATTTGAGCGACCGACCTGCTGCTCCAGCAATCACAGACGAATAGCCGGCTGTAAGGAATGGAATCATACGTGGATACAGGGTGTTTTATAAAGCTTATGTTATGAGTTTCGAATAACTTCCGTGCAGCGTGATGTTTCATCATTTCTCACTTCTGGTGTAAATTCAAGGGCTGGTATAGCATCGTGCACTATGCGAAAATAGCATAGAATTTTAATTTACAACCAGAGTATAGATTTTGAATTATTTCTTCCATAAACACAAAATCATAAATTAAATGGGAACACAAGAACATGAATATCGGATCTCTTATGTTATGTTTATAGACGCATTAGAATTATACGTTGTATGCATTCTGTCATATTTTCACTGCTGTTGCATTTTCGCTGTCTTGTTTTTGCAGATCAGCAACGAGATCGTGGAAAATAATCCTATGGAAATACTAAGAGCTCAGCAAAATTACAAAGAATGCGGCGAAGAAAAGAAACCAAACAACAAGTTTCTGACGTCATACCAGCCATTCGTTGCATTTCCTAATTCATTGCACCAATCACGAGAGAGGTATATTTGTAATATTCTGAACCTTACTCGCGCCAGTAAGAATAATAACTTATTAGCATTTCGTTAATAAAAAATTATGATAAATAGTTTATCTTTATGCGTCGCTGGAGGACTCTGAGACTGTGAGAAGAACTGTTATGCAAAAATGATGAAATATTTTTATTCAATGCCTAATAATATTCAATTCAAAAAATTTATTTCAGGATTGGTTTTAATTGATTAAATTTGTAGTAACAGTAACGGTATCAAAATCTGTTTTAGCCACTAGCACGCTTTTCTAGTATTTTACTTAATGTAACTGAATAATAAGCTTGAGTAAGATTATATCTGTAATGTTCATAAATTATGACCGAAGACACATTCACTTGAATGAACATACTTAGAGGAGGTTCACGAAAGCAGATCGATGATGTAGCAAGAATTATGGCCGGGCGGATGTTCTTTTAGACTATAGAAGTATCAGCGAAGCCCATCAGGAAACTTTAGACTCTCAGCAACAAATCCAAGCTTAAGATTTGAAGATTTTTCCTCATAAACTAAAGATCTATTTTTGTCTAAAGTAACGGCACTCGGCAATCTCTCCAGTAATCACGTCTATTTTTCTGGCCAATCGATCGCCGTTTAGAGTCAGAACTGAAGGGCCCTAAACGGAATTAATAGGGC